CAGATACATGAATTGTTCGTTGGTTCATCAAAATGTTATCATATGGTATGATTACAGTTTATTTCACTGACAGATTGACACTTATTTTATGGAACTTTATATGGTTACAGTGTAGACTTCAGTGGCGCTGTTTCTGAAATTGTACATCAAAGAAAGTGTACCTGCATTGTGTTTGTACAATTGGTGTCTTTAGAAAAATTCTAAAAGAAGGGTAAGAACATTTAGAATCTCAAAACATCAGCAAGTTTATCAATTAAATATTGCACATTATTCTGTACAAGTGATTTATAAAGTATTTCAAGGAAGACAGACCTGAATCTTTTCCATACAGCTATAAATGCGTGTACAAAAAGAAGATTTGCATTATTCCTTAGTATTAAATTAAGCCACACAGTTTTAAACTATTGTTCATTTAGGCCAGACTTTTATTGACTCCCATGTGCGAAGCACAAAAAGGGAGTCTTTGCAGTTAGTGTGTGTGTGTGTCTGTCTGTCTGTCTGTCTGTCTGTCTGTCTGTCTGTTCCACTGATATCTCAAGAACCATACATTGATTTTTGATGAAACTTAGTGCATAGATGCTCTTGGCCAATGAGCAGATTTGATTAGGTTTTGGTAAAAATCCATGCATATTAATTACCTAATTTGCATGATAATTAGCTGATTTTTAGCTGTTCCATGACTGTTCCACTGATATCTGAAAAATCACTCATTGGATGTTGATAAAACTTTGCACATAGATGCTCCAGACTAATGCACAGATTTGATTAGTTTTGGGTAAAAATTTGTGCAATATTAATTACCTACTTTGCATAATGATTAATCAATTTTCGGCTTTTCCACTGATATCTCAAGTACTAATCACCACATTTCAATGAAATTTGGTACATAGATGTCATAGGACACTGCAGATACCTGATAGTTTTTAGGGTACATATTAATTACCTAATTTGCATAATTAATTTTCAGCTTTTGATATTTCAAATAGTAATCATCACATTTCAATGACACTTGGTACATAGTTACTTAAGGACTATGCAGACCCCTGATTAGTTTTTGGGTAAATATTTGTGCATATTAATTACCTTATTAGCATAATTAGTTAATTTTCAGCTTTTTGCCTGATATCTCAAGTACTAATCATCATATTTCAATGAGACTTGCTACATAGATCTTCTAGGACTATGCAGAGACCTGATTAGTTTTAATTGAATATTAATTACCTAATTTGCATAATGTTCCACTGATGTATAATGAACCACGAATTGGATTTTAATGAAACTTTTAAAGTGAACTATGCAGAGAGCCAATTAGTTTTTTGGTATATATTTATGCTTATTAATCATCTAATTAACATAATTAATTAACACTGATATCTCAATTACTGATCATC